GTGGAGGCTGTCTGGTGTTGCCCTAATAGTAGCACGGATGAGGACAGCTTCATTTTCCTTAGTCAGGGTCAGCCTTCTGCTGGGAGTACTTAGGAGGTGTTGTGTGTATGCTTTGGTACATGCTGTGCTGCAAGAATGGTTGTACTCCAACGAGGCAGCCCTTGCTGAGAGAGACTTGCTGATGTGTTACATTCATTCGTGCTAGTGGATAGCTTGCAGTTCATTCCCACAGTAAAAGCAGATGAGCTGAAAAGCCTTCATGCAGAACCCTGCCTGCTCCTTTTGTTCATCGGTGTTTCTTCTCATGTCACGATACGTTTTGTGTTCTGGCTGCCTTACCTTTGTTGATACTGTTTGTTTTTAATGGCTGGGCCTTCTCTTCCAGTGGCTTCTCTACCGGTACAGTTGCATTGATGACTCTGGCTTTGAAAAGTTCCTACCCAGGGTTTGGTGCCTTCTCCGACGATACCAGGTACTTGTTGTTGCTGTTGCTGTGCATCAAAAAACCTGGGGAACTGAACTCGTTGCTCTGAGGGGTCTGCAGCTCTCAGAGCCTGGTGCAAAGTAGGACTTAAACTGAGTCAGTGGTGGGGATAAATTGTAACAAAGAGCTTTCAGTAGTTATTGATGTTTTTGTGAGGCCTAACTGAAGGCTCCTGGGGAATACATGTAAAAACTGACAGTTGGTTTGACAGGACCTGAGCTGAAGAAAGTATCTAAAGAGCATTCCTAGGTTCATTCAGGGGACCTACTGAATTTGAGAGAGGACGAGGGGGCCCTGCATACCTGGAGGAGTGAGTGTGTGGACATGTAGGCCTCGGTCCAAATTCCATGAAGGGAGCAGCAGCAATAGCAAGTGCAGGCACCACTCACCGGGGTTTGCTCTCCTCAGATGATGTTCGGTGTGGGTCTGTATGAAGGAACTGGCCTGCAGGGGGCACTTCCCGTGCACGTCTTTGAAGCCCTCCACAAGCTCTTTGGAGTGAGTTTTGAATGCTTTGCCTCGCCACTGAATTGCTATTTTAAACAGTACTGTTCGGCCTTCTTGGATACAGACGGGTATTTTGGATCCAGGGGGTGAGTCTTGTGTTCTGGTGCCCTTTGCTGTGTGTCTGTGTGGGTGCATGCACGTGTGCAGAGCAGTGATTCAGGACAGGCTGATGTGTTGGCAGCTCGTGGCAGTAGTTGAGCAGAAGGACGTGTGCTTCAGGCCCACTGAAAGCAGGGAGCGAGCACAGATCGGCGCTGAAACAACCAGCAGTGTGCCACTGGTCCAGCCAGAGCTGTCTGATGCAGTTTATAGATCTGCCAGTGTTTGCCCTTGTTCTGAAGAAAGGAGGGAGTGGGCCCTCAGGCAGTCGGCTTGCATCAGCAGTCAGCCTTCAGTGACCACAGATGGAGTGTGTCCCAGTGGCTGTCTGTGCTGTGGAGGAGTGGCAGCCCTGTACTGCTGAGAATTCAGTCCTTCTGAGCATGAGTGTCGTCTGCGAGGAAACGAATGTTTTTTAAGGTCCAACAATCAGGTGTCTAGCCTCCCTGATAGTGATCTTTGTCTTTTTCCTGTAGCCCGTGCCTGGATTTCTTCCCTATAAGTGGGTCTTTTGAGGCAAATCCTCCGTTCTGTGAGGAGCTGATGGATGCCATGGTCTCTCACTTTGAGGTATGTTCACTCTGCTGTGTTGTTCTGAACGGAGCCGTGCGTTCGTCTGCTCCCCACTGTGTGCTCACAACAAGGCTGTCATTCAAAAAGCAGAGGGCTGTCACTGCTGCTGTACTGCTCTGGAAGCAGAACTTTTCCTTTCCATAGAAGGCAGTAGGCCTGTCATTGCTCAGCCGAGACTAAGATTGGTTTTCTTTTTGGACTAGAAACTGCTGGAGAGTTCCAGTGAGCCCCTGTCCTTTATTGTCTTCATCCCTGAGTGGAGGGACCCTCCCACGCCCGCCCTGACCCGCATGGAGCAGAGCAAGTTCAAGAGGCACCAGCTCATCCTGTCAGCCTTCGATCACGAATACCGCAGCGGGTCTCAGCATGTCTGCAAAAAGTAGGCCTTCCCTTGGGGTCCCTGCAGGGTGCCCTTCTGATGAGCTGCCTCTCGGGGAAGCTGTGTGACTGAGATACCTCAGTGGGAATCGATGGAAGGAAGGGAAGAGGAAAGATTGTGCAGTGCGTCATCGTCCTGGGTTTTTAAGAGGTGTAAAATCCACAGTGTTGTGGATTTTCGCATTCGTTTAATGACTGCTGAGGTGTTTTGCTAATTAAAAGATTTGAGTGATGTGTTTCTTGGGTACAAGTCCAGTATGAACTGTTTATGTCATGTAGTGCTGCGGTGATGCTCCGTGTCCCTCTGCCAGCTCTCATTTGGCAAGCCACAGCTGAGCATTTTCCTGGGCTGCCAAATGCCAGAGAGGCTCAGCAATTCAGTACTGTTCAGAAAGAGGCAGAAGGAAGGCACTCTCCTCTTTTCCACGTGATAATGAGTGAAAAGGGCAGAGAGGAATACTTGTCCTAACACCTACAAGCGGGAAGAGGAGAGGCAGGCGGCAGGGAAGCGTAGTGGTGTGACTTACTGGCAGGGCTGCCGGGAGATGCTGAGTGCCTGCTGTCTTTCCTTGCAGGGAGGAGATGTACTACAAGGCTGTGCACAACACCGCCGTCCTCTTCCTGCAGAACAGCGCAGGCTTTGCCAAGTGGGAGCCCACGCCAGAGCGGCTGCAGGAACTCGTGGCGGCCTACAAGCATTCGGGCCGCACCCTCAGCTCCTCGTCGTCCTCCTCCTCCTCGTCCACCTCCTCCACAGACAAGGAGCGAGAGCTGGGCCGGGAGCAAAGCAGCAGCCGGGAGACCAACGCTAACTGAGGCAGAGGTGAGAGGCAGCAGGGAGGTGCCGGCGGCCCCGAGGAGGCTCGCCGGGCAGGCGGAGAGACTGCTGGCTGCGCAGCACCGGCCCGGGGAACTCTTGCCCAGCAGCTCACGGCAGCCGCCTTCCCCTGCGAACCAGCAGCGCCAGGAGCGCCCGGCTGCCGCCAGGGAGAGGAGCTGGGCCACGGCCCGGCTGGAGGGCCGGCAACCCCCGTGCGGGCGGCAGGAGGAGCGGGCGGCCCCGTGGCTGCCCATACGTGGATGGAAGGGGCGGCCGGAGCTGGGACGCGCTCTAAGGGTGGAAGGACAGCGAGAGGGACGGCCGGCACCAGGCCCGGCGCCGCGGCTGCGAGGGGCCCAGCGGCGGCCGCAGCCTGGCAGCTGCAGGAGAAGCGCGGGCAGAGCCCGGGGTCCTGCGGCCGGACTGGCACCAGCACCGCCGTGTCCATAGTGTAAATAGTTCTGTGTCCCTGAGCTCCCGGCAGGGCTGTGCCCGTCGCACCGCGTTCCCTTCCCACGTGTGTGAGTCCCGTGTCGGCCGACGCTGTGTACCGGAGAGGAGCGGAGGAGAGCGATTCCTTTGGTGTGTAAAGACGTCTTTGCAGCTGTTTTGTAGTCATTGTGGTTTTTATGCAGAGCCTCTGGGTTGTATTTAACCTCCGTGGGTTTTGTTTTTTAAGGATTAATTTAACACCGCTAACCATTTTATTACTTTTATCAAGAAGAGCAAAGTCTATTTTTGATTTCTGTTTCCTAGTTCTTAGGAACATTAAAAACCAGCATTCAGCTCTGCCCCGTGTCAGTGCCTTTCCTCATCTGTTGGCCTGGGGCCTGCACTCATCCCATGCCTTCACCTCCGTCTCCCTCTGATAGAAGAAAAAGGGTTCTGGTTCTTAGTTTGGCACAGCCCATACTTTGAACCTACATGGCACAACGCTGGGAAGTTCTTGAGGAACTTGTAGTATTTTACCCAGAATGTGGAGTGATGTTTTGCCTGGAATATGGAGTGATAGAAGGTATGCTGTCAAGAAAAGATACTGGTCATGAAAGCATGGGTGGCTTTGCTGGAATAGCACTGAAATGCCTCATATCTTTGTATGCCTACAAAAAGGGGGGTGGGTTTTGTGCAGTGTATAAAAAGCTGCAGGTCCTGGAGCAGGGACTCATGCTGTAGAAAAGAGAAGAGGCTGAAAGACCTGAGTAAGGACAGCATAAAGAATTCCATGGTGACCTGAGGCAGGGAAGCATTTGGGGGCAGCAGGATCAGGAAATGGCTGCAGGGTGTGTATGGTCTGCTGGGTACAAAGAGGATCAGGTTCTCCAGGGATGCTTCCCACTACGGTGAGGTAGTTGACCTTCAGTGACACTCAGGGGAGACCGGAGAACTCCAGCAGCGAAGGGAGCAGCTTACAAAGCACTTTTCCCCTTCTCTTTATACGGAAGCAGGGCAGGCTGTTCCTGAAACGCAGCTGACCGCCGGCACACGCCGATGCTCGAAAGCGTCATTACTGAAGGAGCAGGAGGGGGGGTCCTTTGTCTCTCTCCCTCAGGTGGTGGCCAATTACCTCATTAAGTATTTAATCGCCGTGTCACGATGGTCAAACGAGGGAGCTGCTCGCCCGTGCTGCAGCAGCCCGCGAGCTGCGGTGCCGCGCTCAGCCAAGAAGCCGAGCATCCGTCCACCCCCCCACCCCCTCCTCCCGCTCCGCGTTGCCAGGCCAACGGCGCGGCGGATGCCGGCGGTCCCTGCGGCTGTGCCGGCCCCGCAGCGCTTCCCTCGCCTCCCCATGGGACGGTCCCCCCTGTCCCCTCGGAGCCCCCGCAGGTACGGGAGGGAGCGGGAGCCGGGGGGGCCGTAGGGGGGCGGCGCCGCGCCGTAGGAACGCGGGGAGCCGTGCGCGATGGGGGCGAGCCGCGCCGAGGACCCCGGGCTCCACGCCGTGCGGTGCGGAGCAGCTCCCCGCCCTCGGGAAATCCCCCGCCCAGGCGCGGGGGCCGCAGAGCGGCTGAGCGGTGCGGGCGGCGGTGGGAACCGGGCTGAGCCGCGGCTGGGGAGGGGGCCGCCGCGGGGCTGAGCCGGGCTCTGGCCGCGGGCCGCAGCGCTGTGATCGGGGGCTTCCCGTCCCCAGGTCCCGTTCCCATGGCCCGCGAGGACGAGGCGCGGGGCGGCTGTCAACTCGCCGACCAGGAGCCGGAGTGCCAGATCTGCTACAGCCGCTACGACGCCCTCGCCCGCCGGCCCACGGTGCTCCTCTGCGGCCACCGCCTCTGCGCCCGATGCCTGCGCCGGATGGTGGCCCTGGGGGACGCGTCGCCCCGACGACTTCGCTGCCCCTTCTGCCGCCGGCAGAGCCCGGTGCCCGGCGAGGACGCGAGACGGCCGCGGGACGACGGCGAGGGGCCGGCGCCGCCGACGCGCCGTGAGCGGGACCCCCCCTCGCCCCCCGAGGTCCTGCTGTCCCCCAGCGTGCTGCAGCCCTCGCCCGGCCCTGACTGCCTGGTGCTCACCATCCTGGAGGTGCCCGCGGGAGCGGTGCCCACGGAGGCGCTGGGCGCTCTGGAGGTGGTCCGGCTGCAGAGCCGGCGGAAGAGCCGCGCCCGGAGGTGCCGAGCCGCCCCGCGCTGCCTGCTGGGCACGCTGTGCCTGCTGTACTGCAGCTCGCTGCCCCTCGGCATCTACCTGCTGCTCAGCCAGCACCACGGCCTGGGCCTCGCGCTCGTCAGCCTCCTGCCCGCCGCCCTGCTGCTCTGCGTCTCCTGCAGCCTCTGCCAGTGCCTGTGCCGGGAGCTCTGCGCCTTCCCCTCACCCTGACCCGCGCGGCCGAGCCCTGCGCCCGTGCTGGGGACACGTCGGAGCGCGTTGTCCTGGTGCTGAGCGCCAGCCGTGCGCGGCGCTGCCATCCTCGACTCCTTACAGCCAGCAAGCATTCAGCCGGCTCTCAGCTCCTCCTGCTCTGCAGATGAGGGCGGCGCGATGCTCGGTGCTCACCTGGAAGGGGCCCAGCGGCGGCTGCAGCCCGGCGCGTGCAGGAGAAGCGCGGGCAGAGCCCGGGGTCCTGCGGCCGGACTGGCACCAGCACCGCCGTGTCCATAGTGTAAATAGTTCTGTCTGTGCCCCTGAGCTCCCGGCAGGGCTGTGCCCGTCGCACCGCGTTCCCTTCCCACGTGTGTGAGTCCCGTGTCGGCCGACGCTGTGTACCGTACCGGAGAGGAGCGGAGGAGAGCGATTCCTTTGGTGTGTAAAGACGTCTTTGCAGCTGTTTTGTAGTCACTGTGGTTTTATTTTTTAAGGATTAATTTAACACCGCTAACCATGTTATTACTTTTATCAAGAAGAGCAAAGTCTATTTTTGATTTCTGTTTCCTAGTTCTCAGGAATGTTAAAAAGCAGCATTCGGCTCTGCCCTGTTCCCCTCACCTTCCACATCCTGTGGTCCCCTCTCCCTCCCCTGACCAGGACCTCCTGATGCCCTCTGTCACCCTCTCCCTCCCTTGTCCCTCCTGTGCACATTCCCATTCCCCCCCGTCCCCATCCCTCCGTGTCCCTGTCCCCCTGTTTGCCCCCATCATACAGTGCTGTGTGCTCTCTGAACCACCTCAGCCCTGAGTGGTGGTGGCCCTGGGTTGTGGCAGATGAAGGGTGGGCACCAAAGCAGTTATTTCTGCTGTGGCACTGGGGCTTCATGGGGGGCGGGGGGTTGGTTAGGGTCTGGGCCCTACTCCTGCCCCACTCCTGCCCCATTCTTGCCCCTATCCCCCCCGCTCTCTTCAGGGCCAGGTGCCACCATTGCTGCCAGACTCCAGATCTTGGGTTTGTGCAGCTGCTCACCCTTCCCAGGACCTGTTACCCCTATGGGGCTGCTCGCACTCCCAATCTGCTGAGGGCTGGGGGGGGGGCTGTGACAGGGTCTCCTCGCTGTCCTCCGTGCCGCGTGTCGCCCATCCTGCTCGGTTCTCCTTCTTGAGGCGCCGGCGCGCGTTGGCAAACCAGGTGGAGACCTGCGTCAGGCTCATGTGGCTGAGCACGGCCAGCATCACTTTCTCACCCTTGCTGGGGTAAGGATTGCGGGGGTGCCGGGCCAGCCAGGCTTTCAATGCTGCGCTGCTCTCCCGTGCTGCTCCTGCCTTCACCCGCCCTGGTTCAGCGGGCAAGGGCTGTTGGCAGCACGGCGGGCACAGCCCTGTGGGCACCGCGCAGGGCGGAGGGACCTGCAGGCACACAGGGGTTGGGGTTGGGGGGGGCTGCAGCTCCCCAGGCTTGGAGGGGTTCCCAGGCCCCCGAGAGCTGTTGGGCATCGCTTACCATGGGCGTCAAGAGGCGGAGGGGTGGTGGCAGCAGGTGGTACCCAGGCAGCACGGGGCAGGCCAACAGGGTGGGCGGGGGGCCCTGTAGTGCTCCCCATGGTCCCCCGCAGCTCCTCAGCTCCTGGCTGGGGTTCCCCTTACTCTGAGGCGTTGCCATGCTGCTGGAGTGCAGCTGGGAGATGCTCTGGGGCTTTATATCGGGGTGGGGTCCTTGGTGGCGGGCGGCTGATTGGTGTATTAGTGCCCTGGCAGTGTCCCTTAAAGCCACAGTGCTGATCTGGGATGGTGGTGCCCCCCTGATGGGCGCTGCCAGATGGGGAGCAGCCCTGCTGGGGTGGGAGCAGAACCACTGGGATGGGAGCAGCGGTGTGCCAGGACCTGCACCCCTGACCTGCGCATGGAGTGGGGGCACTGGGGGGCTGAGTGCCACCCCGTGAATGGTGATGGGATGTGGCACAAGAAGAACGCTGCACACAGGGATGTAGCACGCAGAACCCTACTGCAGTGCTGGGTGCTGTCAGACCCATTCTCAGCCCTGGAGCCCCCAGTGCAGTGTGGGGCAGTTCTCAGCCACCTGCGCTCTCTCCAAACCACCCGTGTTAGGAAGTAGTTGAGGCCACCCTGTCCTGGCCGTGTCCAGGAGGCCACAGCTGGATCCTTGTCTGCAGAGAGGCCAAGGGGGAGGAGGAGCCCCGGGATCCTTTGTGCAGTGTAGAACTGAGGCCCAGAGGTGGGGGGCAGGCCGTAGTGTGGTCCCTGTGCCCCCCATCCATCTCCTGCTTACACACCACCCGCCCAAAGCAGGATTATCCCCCAGGTTGTATCTGTCGTTAAATACCGACTAATAACGCTCTCAGGATATTAAATATGTAACAAACCCGCTTAGTGCTGGCTGGGGACGGGAAGGGGAAGGTCACCGGAGCTAATGAGCCCTGCAGCACCCCTGGGCTCACCCACAGCATCCCTGGGCTCCCTGCAGGCAGTGGCAGCCCCCACCTGGGCCCCGTGGCTCCACGGCCCCCACGAGCAGCAGCCCAACGTCCCACTCCCACCCATCCCATGCCATCCCCACCTCTATCTGCCCATACACCAGAAATCACGGTGCTGCCAGGACTCCTGCATGCCAGGTGGGGATGGTGGGGCAGCGCAGCTGGGGAGAACAGAGCTGGATGGGAGCAGACAGCTGGGGCAGACGGGACCGACTTGCGGCCCCATAACCTTGTCCCCGCAGGACTCTGCCAGCCCCAATCAGTGCAGTGCTCCCGTGGAGCAGATCTGCTTTATTAGATAATGGGGCTGTAATCTAGGAAAGCGTCTGTTAACCCAGTGTGGCACAGCTGGACAGGGAGGGCCACCGCCATGTGTGCAGCTGAGGGACACAGCTGGAGCAGGAGCCCAGCACAGCCAGACGGGTGCAGAGCAGTGCAGAGCAGCCAGCAGATGCTGAGGCCAGCAGCCACCAATGGCCCTCATTCTGGCTGGGCAAGGGGCACGTGCAGGCAGACAGGCTGCCCAGGGATTGTGGAGCAGCAAGACCTCGAGCACTGCCCAGCACCCCTGCTAAGGTTTGAGCCCACCTGCTGTACTCATTCCCCCAGAGCTGCGCCAAGAGGCCAGCAGCACAGCCATCCCTGCCCTGGGATGCTTTTGATTCCTGGGTGGTTGCAGGCCTTCTTCCCCTCTAGAGATAATCAGCTGAATGCAAAAGCACAGAACTAAAACTCCGAGATTAGCTGTTATAATCACATGTAAATACTTCCAGACAATCCGCTCAGGGAGGGGCAGCGTGTGTAGTTTGGGACAGAGTTACATGGGATTTAGGCTGTTTACCACTTGATTAATTTCATGCCTCCAGCCCCCCCTGCTTCCAGCTGCACAGAAGTCAAGGTGACCGCAGTGGAAGGGAGCCATAGCACAGGGCCCAGGTGCCGTGCAGCACCACGCATGCTGGATCCCCGCCTCCAGGCAGCACAAACACACCCAGCTTTCAATCTTTTTTTATTCGTAAGCATATTCAAAGCTTGAGAACGTCAGAATCGAACCCCTCCCGTAACAACTTACAAACCAGCTTTGCCACAGCGTCCATCCCTCTTGCAAAGAAAAAATACAACTCCTTCCACCACCTGCACGGCCCCTTCCTCTGTCAGGTTCCTCCAGTCCAAAGCCCTACTGCCGCCCGCCCGCAGGCCGGAGGAGCCAAGGGAGGGAGGCTGCCCTCAGCCCGGCCCTTGTGCCCCACGGGTGCGAATGAGGCTGAACGACCTCAGCATCTCACACTGCACCACGTGGCTGCGCTCGGCCCTACAGCTCCCCCGGGATCCCTGCACCCGAGCAGATGCTGAGTTTGGCCCACACAGACATGATTCAGGGAAAAGGGATTTCAGACCATCATCAAGTGCAACAGGCAGAGATGAGCCACGTGAGTGCTGCCACTGCTCAGTGTCCCGGCACTTCGGCTGTGGTGCAGTCCCTGCTCAAGGCAGCCTCCTGTGCCAGGCAGGATTTGAAGGACCCTTGCTGTGCACAGCAGAGTGGCAGCACACCCTTGCTGGCATGCACTCAGGCACGTCCCTCGTAGCCCCAAAGCAATAAGGCAACTGCTGGCTGTAGAGGCTCCCGCTGGCTGCCGCTGTCCTGCTCAGCACAGATGTCCCTGAGCATCAGCCAGGCCTGTCACCAGTGCTAATCTGCCAGCGTGATGACATCGTAGTGGATTCCCTGCTGCAACTGCTGGATCTGCTCAGCCGTTGCCTCCGTGGCAAACACGCTCTGTGCCTGAGCCATGGCAGCATCAGCCACTGCTGCAGAGAAGGGGCATCGGTGACGACGTGGGGCTCAGCAAAGACCTCCCCCCACAGCCCGTCAGCTGCTTCCCAGGACTACAGGGACAGGGGTTGGCAGGGGGGCATCCAGCCCAGCCCTTCTGCTGAGGACTGCAGCAGGGCAGCCCTACCAGCTGCAGTGAGCGAGCAGCCTCTGCAGCAGAGCTGGACTGAGGCACCATAGCAGCAGCTGCTAAGGGGCATCAGCAGCTCCCACTCAAGACTGGCATCCTGCAAGCAGTAGGAAGACAGAACAGCCAGAGTGTGGCCCTGACATACCTGAGACTGCTGAGTGTGCAGCTGCTTCCAGCTGAGCCTGGGTGACAAGCTGCTGCTCAGGTGAGACAGGCATGTACTGGATCTACAGGGAGGAGAGAAGAAGGAGAGTCCAAGACTGCACAGAGTTTCTCATGGTTGCTGCAGTGAGTCCCTGCCCCCTTACCTGTGGCTCCTGGAGAAACTGGCTACCTTGTTCATATTGAATGTGAGTGATCTGACCATCCTGAACCTGAAGACAAGAGCTGCAGTAAGGCTGTGTTAGGGCCAGCAGGCTTCCCTGCCTACCAGAGTTGTGACTCAAACAGAGCAAGCCACAAGGACGAGGAGGTGACCCCAGCACACGGCACCCACACTGACCTCACCCACTGCACAAAAGGAACAGCCAGCCTGCAGCTTACCTGGATGT